TCTGGATCCTTCTCACGGCCAGACCCACACACTGCATGTGAGTGACGTCTACCACAAGCAGCAGTGGCTCAACTGCCTCCGAACCGCCATGTCCCAACAGCAGGGGGCTCCAGCTAGAGTTCAGCGGGGGCAAACCATCCCAGCAAAAAGCCACTCCTCTGTGTCCTCAGCCACAGTGTGTGACGAAGAAGAAAATGAGAACTGTCCTCCTCCTGTCTCTGGCCCCAAACTGAGGCCTCAGACGCTCTCCAAAACCAGACTGGACCAAAAGTTACAGTCACTGAAGAGGAAGGAAACTGGAGTGTAGCTATTTAGAGGGTTCCTCTTACATGTATTTGACGTGTGTCCTGTTTAGTCACCTTTTTTTTTTTTATCCATCTGCACTGAAAAGGCTTCTCAAATCATCACCGTCCAAATGTTAATCCAACTGTAGCCCTTAAAAATGTGTAATTAGTTTACAAAAAAAAAAGCCTGCTATTTGCATATGTGTTTACAGCAGCTGTAAAGCAGAGTTTTCTGTCTTGTTGCTTTGAAAACTTTTTCAGCTTTGGTTTTTGGTTAAGGCTTTTTTTGTTTTTTAAACCGTCTCTGTCTCGTGTTATGATCAGGATGTGACTGTGTGTCTATAGAACGAGCAGCACGTGTGAAGCTGTCCGTTTTAAGTGTCATCTGTGCCAAGATAAGGGACCAAGAAACTGTCTACCAAGGAAACAAGGCTCAAAGTGTTTCAGATCAGTGTCAAGATAGGGAGCAGAACACGTGTGAGAGCACTGACCACAGATGTATTAAGAATTTTTTTTAAGGGGGAAGGAGGGACATCAAGAATTCATCACATATTCAGAGGAAATTTGTTAATCAAAAAGGAAAAAAATAAAACGTATAGTAAAACTGAGTTTGAGACTTTTTATTGCAGGTTACTAAGATCCTCTTGATTGTACTTTGAATTCTCAGTCACTTCCCTTTATTGTTAACGTGGCAGTTCAACAGTGTTGCAACACTTTTAAAGCAAACAGAAGCTTAAAAAAAACTAGACACTGGTTTCTTTCCAATTAGTGTTCAAAAAACGACTCTCTTAGCACGTTTGTTCATGTGTTTTCGTTCAAATATGTCAAACTGGAAAAGGCGAAATGTAAAAAAAGACAGGTTATTGATAAATCCTTTCGAGTTCAGAGGCAAGTTTGACTTTTGTTTTATTTTAATTGCTGTGAAATGCCCGTAGTAGCTCTTCAGGGCTGATCCAAAATGATATGCATTGAAAATGACAGACCTGCAAAGCCTGATTTACATGTATGAAAATTTTACCTCAATATCTGTTGTTGCGTTTGTTTTCACTGTAAAACATACAACTGACACAGTGTGACTCTAGATAAGGTGTACGTCAACAGATACGTCAATATTCAGTATTAAACAGTCATCGAAAAGAGCATCACTGCAAAACTTAAAGATGTACTCATATAGCATTCAGGGATACAAGCGTCAGTACAAAGCGTATTTCAAATGTATTGTCAGAAAGAGTCAGAGAACAGCTCATCACATTGCCAACTTCCTCTATCTTATTAAACACCGATTCTTCACTCACTATTTAAAAACAGGAACCTGAAAGACTTTCTTAAGTTCTTTTTCATTTTTATATGCTCGAAGGATCATTGGAATTTCAGTTGATGGATGTTTTGCTTCAATTCGATTAGGCAGCCACACAGCAGCTTTAGCAGCACACATTTTACTTCCACTAAAACCCTCGGGGGGCCTCTTATACAGCTTTTGATCAGTAGTATTTATAGCTGATAATGTGTCACCAGCATGAGATGCTTCACCACAGCCTAACCAAAACCCTCTTCCTCAAAGATGCTTACAACTGCCAATGTTGAGCGTCATGTACTCTTTCTGGGAGAGTTATGAAAGCAGGAGTCGGCGCAAAGCTTAAGGGTAAGCCGCCACACCTCCTTTTATTTGACTTGACCGTTGCCCTGATAACACAAGCCTACGCGGCGAACACCTGCTTCCCCTAGAACACAGCTGCTGAGGTTTGGGTAGGATAAAATGGCCGGCTTGGGGAAGTGGAAAAAGTTTTGAATGCCCAGGACTAAACCTTTCATTATATAATGACTCACTGTTAACTGTCTGCTGAAGATAAAAGGATATCCAGAGCTTTAGGGGGTCATTGTATTAATCTTTATTAAGTCGCACTTAAGAAAACACGGTCTGACTGAACTAACACTCAAATGTTTGTTCAAATCTTTATTAAGCACACAGATTGAACATTAACAGCCCAGGTTGGAAAAACCTGTACAGTGAGAACAGCGGATGTTTCCTGCAACCGTTTATAACTTGCACATTTCCTCTTTAAAAAAAATTTTAAAAAATGCATCAGTTTCAGTTTATGACCCGATTCACAAGCCCTCTTCTGATCGCGCTACAACATTACAAATTGGGTTCAGGTCACGACTCTCGTTTGTTTGTTCCAAAACATTAATTTCTTCTTTTGCAACCGTTCTGCTGTCCATTCATTTGTGTGCTCCGCCGGTTTTATGTCAGGTATTGCTGCCCTTATAGTCACCATTCATCATTCCCCCAGTTTCAGTGCATTCATGCATCGGGAAAGCAAAGAAGCTCAAACCCTGATCGTTCCTCTGCCGTGCTTCCCAGTAAGTATAACGTACATATGTTCAAAGAATACCTGATGCTTTCCAGATCATCCAGTTAACCTTTGATCTTAGGCGGCACTGTTTTGGTTTATGTTTTCTTCTTATTTTCATTCTATTACCCGATTATTATTTGGTATTTTTTGTTATTGCAATGTTCTCCTGTCACTTTGGCTGCTTCATCACCTTTTTCAGGACTACGTGTCTTTCTGTTGGTATAATCTTTGCAAGATGTCAGTTCCCAGGGAGAGCAGTAACACCTTATGAATGAGACATTGTGTCTCAATGCAGACCGATGGACATCCTGGACTGGACTCTAGAATTGCTTTTGTAGTCTTTTCTCAGCTTTATGAACCTCTAAAATGGTTCTTCTGAGGTCCTGTGGAAGTTGTGCTTGAGGCAAGGTTCCAACCAATTCGCCTTTTGGTCAGAAATTCAGTCATATGCACTTTCAAACCCAGACTCTAATTATTCAGTGTGGTAAAAAAAAAATTAAATTTAAAAAAACAAAAAACAAACCCAAACACATCTATTAATGTGTCTTGGATGAAGATCAGACCACATTTATTAATAATCAGAGTAGAAACGCAGCTGATTCTAAAGGGTTCACAAAAACGTTTTTTCTAATCCTGTCGCTTAACTTTGGAACTATCAGTTCTGGATTCAGAAGACAGTGACAGCTCACTAAATGTCATCACCATCATGCAGTTGTTGCCGTGTGTTGACCTTCTCCAGAGTGAAGAACATGCTGGTATTGTTGAGTAGAAAGAAACCAATTTTGCAGGTTACTGTACTCTCTTAAGTTAGAGAGTAAATTTACAAAAACAAGGCACGTCCAGCCAGGAAGAAGCTGTGGTGTCACGGCGAGCTTAAAATACTCAAACTGTGGGTAATGACATTAATTCGCGTTGACACTTTGGCCCTAACTGAGCTGTCTCCAGATGCATTGAGGTTACAGTTAATGTTTTGGTTTTTCTTTTCACTTCCTGCTTACTGTTTGCATGTTTGGTTGCTAACATCTCCCCATCTCACGGCAATTGTTCTAGTTTTTACATCCTCCAGATGAACGTTCACATGTCATCTTTGTTGTTAGCAATATATATTTGTTTATCACTGACGACCAAACATTCCACCAAGCAAGTTTTAACTACACCAGCTGAGTTTTTGGCTCAGTCCACAGAGAACATACTTTGTATTTGTACTAATCTTTGCTGTAAAACAGTTGGTTTAAAAAAAAAAAAAAAAAAGGATTTTACAGTGAATATTAGCTGCTTTGTACTTGTTACCCATGCTGCTCTGTAACACAAGCTCATGTTCAGGCATGCTTTAGTGCAAGTCAGGCATAATGAATGCTTTTATTGTCTGAGTGTAGGTGTAGGTTTCAGGTTCATTTCAGGCATTAGCTGCTTTTCTAGTCTTCACCAGAATGAAAATCATGTTATCAGAGCAACCATTCAGAAGGGCTGCAGAGAGGACTTTTGCTTTGTGCTTTATGGTCACATTTAATCATTCAATTTTTGTCCCACCCTAGAGTCTGACTGACTTAAAGGGATAGGGTGCTATTCGAACTATTGCTGTCCAACCACCTACACGTTGTTTATTTGCAGTTGTGCCATTTTGAAAGGACGTGTTTTGGTTGAGCCCATTTTAAACAGTTTTGCACAGAAACCAATAAACTGCCATTAAGAAAATACTTGTCTTTCAAAAAGTTTCCATGTTAAGATACCAATGATGTACTTGAGTCTGCTTTGTGACTGAAAGATGCAATCTATATATACCCTTTCACAATATTAGTTCCTGAAAACGCAATTTCAGATCATTTCCAGCTAAGCATTGCCAACTGGTGAAGCTTGGTTCCCAAACCCATTAGGGAACTATAGGGTTTTTTTGTTGTTGTTTTTTTTAAGTGGATGTTTTTTAGGTCGATGTTTTTTTCCAGTGGAACTTTCCATTCATTTCACGCAGTCTGTCAATTCCAAAGGAAATGAAGTACCTTGTAAATCTAAAACAGTTTTGATTGAAGCTTGAAGTCCAATTAAAACAACAAACAAGTTATTTGTAAATTCATGTGGTAGTCATCTGGTATTTATTTACACAGATTTGATAGAGGTAGAACCATCTGTATTATGTACAAATTTACATTAAAAATAAATACTTACAGAATATATACAAATTCATATTCATATGCAGTCCTAGTAATCAAACCACATGTTGCCAAAACAGTTAATGTAGTATTACGGGATATTGCAGGGTTTTAGTTTTTTTTGGTTTTCAAACTTACATTCACACATACTTGGACAAGTATGACAAGAAAATACTTGTCTTGTTCTTGACTCAAGTCAAGAACAAGACAAGTATTTTCTTGTCATCTCAAACTCCACAAAGCAAACGGTGTTATATCAACACAAATTATTCCAAGAAATGTGAAATGATGAGTGGTGCTGCCAAAGCCTCTGAATACACACAGGTGCACTCCGATACTGATACCAATTCAGGACTTGGTATCAGTATGGGGGGGAGAGTACATGAAATCAAAACTACTAATAATGGATATTAAAAAGGTGGAACTTGGCCTGTTGCAACAAATACACACCGGGAGTGTGCCAGACAAGTCGGCACACACCACAGTTCTGAAAGGAGATCTAAAATATGGAAACCCCCTGTGTAAGGTTGACACTTGCTGTGCATGGCCTTAAAAGGCAAAAATTAATCTTTCGGTCTTCGCACAGAGCAGCAAATTCCTCGCCTAAATTGTGCACAACCTACCAAGGAACAAAGCCCTAAACACTAGAAGGTGCTGAGATTTTTCTCGGTATTGGGTGAAGCAAATTAGAGGAAAAGGGCATTAAAAAAACAAAAACATTTGACCTAACATTCATTTGATGCAGAGGCTAAAGTTTGCCAACTACGTCAAACATCAAGGCTAAATACTGCAGGGTTTTCTTTCCGTTTGTCAGAATAATTTGTTGCTGTAGCTATGACCTTTAAAGAAAAAAAAAAAATCACATTTTCAGTTTGCTTAGACAAAAAGTCATCATATTTAACTGAAAAAAATTAAATAAAATAAAAATCTATACACCCATCTAGTTTGGGAAATGTTAAGACATCTGTGTGGTATCACTATCAGCTCAAACATCCTGTCACATGATTTTCAGAAGAAAGGGCCACAGGAACAGCCGTTGCAACCAGCGATTAAATTTCAATGACTGGAGCCGGAATGTAAGACAGGAAGCTTATGATACGATTAGGCAAGTCCAGCCTAGAAACAACTTTATGCGCTCTTGTGCCGAGAATCCTCCTCACTGCCACCCTGCTGATCTGCTGTAAACTCAGGGGGTTATCTAAGACAGAAAAAGCCATCTCAAGTTATGCGTCACTAGTGTTCTTGATGGACTAAAATAAACAGGATGTACTCTAGGTGGATACTCACTCTCAAAGAACTCGAGGCAGAGATACGATGGGGATCCCAGAGTGGTGTAGTGGATAGGTTTCTTGTTCAGGTTATCCGTGGCGTACACATTCCCCCCAAACTCCACAAGCAACTTAATCAAATCTGTGTTTTTTGCCTTGGCTGCGTGATGAAGAGCTGTCTCGTGGAGCTTGGCAGCATTCACGTTTGCCCCTTTCAAAAAAAAAAAAACCAAACTTCTAAGAGTGAGGAAAGTGCTGCTGATGCCCAAGGTTGTGTTTTTAATAGAAATTATAAACATCATAATCACTTTATACAGCAAGAAATATATTTGACACCAAATATTACAGTAAAAAAAAAAATATATATATATATACATATATCCTGGTAATGGCTGCAGTGGGGTATGCTTGTAGCTGCTACTACTGACAGACGTTGGAACAGTGAAACTGTGGATGGATCCACTGATACAATTATTAGTGGAGGATACTGAAAGACGAGGTCCACGCTCAAAGTCTAAAGTGCTACGCATAACAACGAAGAGAAGTCAACTTCCTGTGTTTAGATGTTTAGATGACGTGTCCTGTTTGTGGTTAAGCTGTGAAGGTAAAACTTGACTGTACAGAAAATTATTTTTCGTCTTATTCAGAAAAAGTTTAAAAATGCCGGTACCCTGCATGCCATGCCATTTTAAGTTTTAGACTGAGAGTTACATACATCCATTAACATGTTATATGTACAAGAGATTTTATTATGGAACAAGCTATGATATCAGGGTTAAAATAATGCTGTCATTACTAAGTAATGCAGCATGTTTTGTTTCTGCTCTAAAAACAGCTTATTAGTCTTTTTTTTTTTTAAAGAAGCACAGATAAGACAGGATATCACACTAAATTATCTCTAATCCATGATGACTGAATAGTACATCATAACTGTAAATTTCATCAGCCGTGGTGCGCAGAGGAAACGCCAGAGATCTTTTTCAGTGATTTGAATTCGTTTAATCTTAATATCGACAAGATATGCAGTCACACGAACCTTGTCATGGACAGGCAGCCAGTCAGCTCATTTTTACAGAGAGGCAACTATACTAAAGTAAAAAAACATCAAGAGCAAACAAAGTAGCTGTGTGAGCTAAACATCTGATGGTAATTTATTGCATTGATAAATCCATCAAGTTCAAAACAATCTCCAACAACACTGGCTGAAATGCAAACCCAAACCATGACACAGCCTCCACCGTGTTTTACAGATGGCTAAGTACAAAGAAGTGCTCTGTTGTAGAACGACAGATTACTGCTAAAGCTACAAAACCTTAAAAAGAACTGGAAAAATGTCAAGAAATAAAGTTGGATTCAATAATCTATAGTCATTATAGATTTTGTGAATCCAATTTATTACATTCATCAGGGAAACAAAAAAAGATATACCATAAAATAAAGTACAAATTACAAAATTGAGACCCTCCTACTATATGAGCACACAGGTCTGATTGATGAATCTTCCACTAATGTGATGCTATTCTCAAAGAATTCAGGTTCACAGGTTAAGTTAGCATGGCAATATAACCTGGTAATAAGTGAACCACCCTGAAATTGCCCTGATAAGCTCAAATCCTGCTTTGTGGTACAGGCCTCTGGACTCACCTGCGTTGAGGAGAGTTTTGGCGCAGTCATAATGTTGCCTGGCACAGGCTACATGGAGCGGTGTCCCATAGTGGCAGTCATGGGCCTCCATGTGAGCTCCTTGATCGATCATGAGCTGGACACAATCTGAATTCCCTGATATTTACAAAAAAAACAAACACAGAAAATAACTAATTCCAGTTGTATAAACCTAAAAAGTTCTGCAGTTGAGCAAATGTTGGCGATGCAGGTAGGTACATTTGGGATTTTAGCAGCAATAATTATTAGTATCAGAAGAAATAGTCCTTTTCGGTATCCCTCTCAATGCATTTGTAACCATGTGTGACACCATTAAGAGAATCACAGCTGGACTTTAAGAACTTATCCTCTAGCTTGAAAATCCTTTATAAATATTAAGCTGAAAATAGTTGTGAAACTCAAGGTGACACAGTCTGTAAGCGGTTTGTTCTGCATCCTTCCATCTTTCTACAGAGAACCTGAAGGTTGGCACAAAGACTTTTTTTCCCCAGGACTGCTCTCCAAATAATTTTGTCCTACATGTTCCAGTCATTCTGATCCATATGAACTATATACCTTTAACAGGTGAAGCTGTGCATGCATACAGTTGTCTTTTTGACTTGGGCTGTGTGGTGTGCTATCTGAAGCTTTGGTGATTCTATGACAGATGGACTGGGAAATTCCACAAGAACAAAAAAATAAATAAACAAACATCTGTGTCACTTTTGTAGTCATTATTGTAAAGCGAGTATGTCACAAACCAAGCACCAAGCCCCAGGGCCTGGATGCAGTTTCAGTCACATTGACATTTACGTCATTGCAAAGCTGCACCCACAATCACCGTCTGTCTTAACACTGGTCAGCGAGAGTCGGCGAACCTGCTCATCTAGTTTTTTGTTTTTTGTTTTAAATACAATGGAGAGGATTTGTGCAGGTGGAGCTACAGCTTTAAGTACACCGATTCCCATTGTATTCACCACCGGAGCCATAAAGGTCTCTGTTACAATACAACAGCACTGTTTCTCCACTAGAGAGACCATCTTGCCAAAAGTGTTGGTTCATCTGCCTTCACACCCAATTTGAATTCGAGTTACATCCCGTTCCTAATCCATAGGGTTTAATATAATGTCAGCCCACCTAAGGTTTAGGTGTTTATGGGAACTTTTGACCATTCCTCCAGAAGTGCATTTGTGAGAGACACATAAAGCCTGGCTCACAGTCTCCACTCGAATTCTTCCCAAATGCCTTTTATCATGTTAAGGTCAGGAATCTGTACAGACCAGTCAAGTTCTTCCACATCAAACTGGCTCATTCATGTCTTTATGGACCTTGGTTTGCGCACTGGTGCGCAGTCATGTCGCAACGGGTAGGGCCGACCCCCAACTGGGGTCGAAAACCATTGCATGAAGCTCTCTACACCATGTTCTTGAGCTAATCTGAAGGACACATGAAATTTGGAGGTCTATAGCGATTGACTCTGCAGAAAGTTGCTGACCTCTGCGGACTATGCGCTTAAATTATGATTATGCACAATGTTGTGTTGGAAAACACACACCTCCCATGCAGGCTTCATGAAGAGGTGAGAAGGTGAACAGTGGAGGATTTACAGTTGCTCCATACTCCAGCAGCAGCTTGACGCAATCCAGACTGCCAGCTGCACAAGCATCACACAGCGGCGTGCTACCATCGATGTTACGAGCGTCCACCTGAAGGACAGGGCCGTAATGACAGCACACATGCACCATGTTGAGCTACCACCTAAGCCACCAACTGTGCTTGATTCTCTAGTGACGTGCCGAAGTCAGGTAGCACCACAAAACCTCCTCACCTGTGCGCCAGCATCCAGCAGCAGTCTAACACACTGGGCCTGTCCCTGTATACAGGCCTCGTGCAGGGGGGTGATGGAGTCCACAGCCACTATGTTAACTGCGGCACCTCCCTCGATCAGCTGCTGCAACTGGAAGGCCCTGCCTTGTGCAGCAGCCTCGTGCACTGCTGACCGGTCTGTCCAGAATCCAAGGCCGTGTGC